TTCCCAAACAGATTTCCCCAAAATAGTTATCTACCCTGTAGGAAATAAGATTTATTTACATATTATATAAAGGCAAAGAGGCAATTCAAAACAAAATATCTGCTATTGGTTCTAATACTTTGTTGAATTTTAGTGTCTCATGGTGAATATAATTTCATTTTCAATTTAAAATTCCTCTTGTCCTTCTATATTCAATACACACTAAGGGAGACAGCCATCAAGTTGTTAATTATACTGAAGTCTGAATGTAATTAATTCTTTTGGACCAGTTAATCGATTTCTGATGAAAAGGGAGATTAAAAGATAGTTTCCTTCTTCATTCACTTGAGTCCCTTCTCCTTGTTCCATTCAGTTGGATTACTTTGAAAAGTCATTATTTCTAAATCAATTTGTAATACTGCTTTGGATTTTAGCCAGCTGTAATAACAGCAAAAATCAGAATGCCAATGGCCAGATTGTAATATGATAAATGAGTATTGCTCTCAAGGCAATGCATACAATAATATATAAATACAGTATACTGTATATGTTATTTAATGGCGGTTTGAAATGTATCTCATCAACATTTGAAGAGATCTTGTGCAGCTGATCTCTTGCAGTTGAAAATTTGAAACTTTATATTTTCTGTCAATACTTCTGTAAATACCCACAAGATTTCTGTTAGTTTACATGTATATTTGTACTAAAATAACAGATAAGCATTTTACTTAATCTGCAAAAATGATCTTGCTCAGGGGTACAATGACAGTACCCCATCAGGAATATGATCCCACACTCCAGTGAGAAGTCTAAAACCCAAACCAATTGTTAACACTGCTGCCTATTTTTTTCTGTAATGTGAATAGGCTGCCAAGTGGTTACAAACAAGAGTAGGCCATAAGGCCTTAGCTTGTGTGGTTGTTATTCAGTAATTGATCTTATGACAACATGGCAGGAGAGCTTGAGCTTTGACGACATGGCAGGATAGCTTGTTCCAGAACCTCATAAAACCTTTTGTAAATAAATGCCACCTGTTCTGAGTTTTAAACACACTTCTACATAGGTTTCACTTATGTCCTCTAGTTTATGTTTTACTGTTCATTCAAAGAGGACCAGAGGTCTGATTTTGTCAATACCTTTCAGTATTGACCTCCAGATAGGCAAATCGGACTACACATGTACTATACCTATATATTTTCTATCTACACTATGCTTTCATTACCAAAAACAACATTTAAAAAAAAACTTTCTCAAAATATTCCAAATGAAAGTGATCTCTAATATCCTCTAAACATAACTATTAAGTTTGCTTTCACAGTAATTAAACTATTTTGTAATAAACACAAATTAATAGTGTAATACTAACACCAAAGCACAGAAACTGTGCAACAAGTGAATAATATACCATCAAAAACACAATGTAAAAAACACTTTAAAATGTAAATATTACAAAAAGCCTCTCTGCAACTGGCAGTATAGAAATACAAGAGTAAATAGTAAGTAATTTATTATTTTGTGATTTATAATTTTTATTATTTTACATATTTGGATGACTGAGGCAACCACTCCACATCCTGTCTTCATAACAATCATGCAGATATTTTCTTTTTTTTTTAAATCAAAGATTGTAGACCTTTTAGAGAAGATCTATAAAAAGTATATCCTCGGTGTGCCATAACTTGAGAAGTTGATTTTTGAAAATCTGTGTTTTTCCACTTTTTTTGTTCTGGATATTTCTATCTAGTGTGTGTACTGAGTAAGACATCAAAAAGCTGAAGGGTCAGTCAGGAAGTCCAAGGGGTCTTCTTTAATTCAATACCCTAATCAGGCCTACTGTATATTGTGTATATTTCCAAAATAATTCAACATATTGAATTATTTCAATATATACTCTCTGAGTCTTCTCTCAAGAATGAAATAATTCACTTATTTCAATCTGATGGTGTAAGACATTTCTTTAAGCTAGGGCATATCATTTCTGCGATACAGAACATATTTTTTTGGTATGTGGTATTATGTTATCCTAAATAAGATTGTAAGACAGTATTGAACACTTTGACCACATTTACATCACTTGATTTAAATATTCTAACTTTATCAAGAGAACTTAAGTGCAGCATTTTGAAATTTGAAATGCTTTAGTATTTTTTAGTGCAAAACAATTTAAATGTACATGTACTGCCCTATTTGCCCTAAATCTCTGATAGTTGTGAAAAATGATCTATGAAAAAGTAATGGCTAATCGGTGTTCTTTCTGAATGACTTTGTAGTTAGAGATTTGGAAAATTCTAGATGATAAACAATATATTAATATACAGAACATATTTATAGAATATATTAGCTAATAATAAGTATAGTTTTCTTAATAAGATTTTTAATGTTAACCTTTATTTCAAGAATACAATTTTCATTAAACCTCATAGTGCTTGTTTTATGTATGGTTCATGTATGAGATCAAACATTTTTGTATTTGTAAGTCATAGTTACAATCTATATTCAAAATCAAGTCAAATTAAAACCTGTAATCCAATCGACAGTCTATTTTTCATAAGGAAGATGGAATCTGTTCGTGATTTCAATTATTTTCAGATTTTCATATAATTTAATGAATATGATTAAATTGAATATGAAATGTATAATAACTGCTGCCAAAAAAGGTGATTTAAAAAACCTGTTTAAATAATATTCAAATTAGAAGTGGGGCAACTGGGACATTGTTAGCTCCAGTAGCAAATGACTACACCTGCATGGCCAAATGTTAAGAGACAGCCCCCCTGGCGGTTTAGTATTAGTTCCTAAAATGAGCTGACATTTTGAAAACGTCCATGCAGAAGATGCAATTAATTCTCAACACCTATTACTTGTGCTTCAAAAAACTGCAGGACTGTGCTTAAATATTAACACATCAAATAAAGTGTTGGACTATGGCTCCATTAGATAATTAGTTAATCCTCTGGAACTCATAATTCTTCTACTAATATTACTACTACACAAATTTGTACAAATGTAAGAATCTACAAATCACAGAATGACCTTGTTCTTTCAAATGGTAGGATGTGTTTAAAATTTTAATGAAAGCAAAGATAAAAGAGGCTGATATCTCTTATACCCACTGAATAAAGCCTTAAAAAAAACGTTTATTTTTAAAAAATTTTTAAACCTATATTCAAAGCTTAGGTCTATTATTTATAGAATATAATTTAGTAATGTTTAAACTGTGGCATTCATATTTTCAGCTAGAATTATCCTATAATTGACAGCTTGGTTTACTATTGTGCAAGCTGATTAAAACAGGAATAAATGCTGTTAAGACGGAGAGAAATAGTGAGGTTGTAAGAAAATGGACCTGAGATGGAGGGAGGGTGAGGAAGAGAAAGCTGTTGATTGTGTGTGTGTGGGAGGGCAGGTTTGGTGAGCCCTCCTAAGAATTTATTTTATTAATACATGAATGTTGAAGAGATCAATTTCATGCTTTTCCAATCTGTAAAGGGAGCAGCATGTACAGTACAGACTGGAGAACTGCAGATGTAAAACCCATTTTTCGATCCATTATTCTACAGACCAATCAGTTTTACTTGTGTCATACTGTAGGTAATGTTTTTGGAAAAGATAGAGCTAAATTAAAAGAATACTTAGAAAACAGTGATATTTTAATATTTGTAGTACCTTAAATGGCTTTCACTGCTTGGTTTCATTTTGAATGATTTCTACCCAGCAAACTTCCTCCAGTCCTGACTGTTATACAGTACATTATACTGTATGTGTTGAGGTTATTGTGTTAGCCATGTTAACCATTTGTGAAATGAATGATCTGAAAAGTGCAATGCTGAGTGAATTGTCACAATATTAATAACAATAGCCGATACGTCACCTGCTTTGCTTGAAGCCTGTCTACTCCAAGGTGAACCACCTAGCTGCAGGGGGACAACCTTCTGTTGCTCTGGATCCCTTATGCACTCAGTTTCGGACTCTCAACAAGCACTACTTCTTTTTCTTGTTAGGTTCTGATGCCATAAGCACCAATGAAACTGATACATTTCTGTGATAAAGCTGTCCAGCAAGTTGCTGATTTGAGATGCGAAGATGTGACTGCAACCATGTCGTGGAGTGCAGCATGCTTTTGATTAATTTTTGGAGGGGTTGTATGGACAGACTTCTGTATTTTTGTGCCTTTGAGAACTTGGGACCAACTCCTCTCCATCAACATCTCCATGTTGGCACCCTTGTGTTTTGGGGTGAACACTTCCATGAGTGTGATGTTTTCTAGCTTCATTATCTAGTAATACATATATATTTTTTTTTTATTTCTGTAGCTCCAATTACATTCTGCTGTAACTGTTGAGTGATCCATGTGCAAGTAAAAAATTATCCTTTAAATGTAAATCCATATCTACAACTTGACTAAATTCTGGTGAGAGGAAAATATCAGAACTGGATTTTGGTGAGAACAAAAAACTAGAAAAAAAAGGTCCACCCAATTGTTTACCCAGTTTGTCATCCCAGGTATAGGGCATAGTTATTTGACAAGCTAATGCTGATAGTATAATTTGAAAATGACTTTTCTAATTTACAGTAAAAGCACAAGCAGTGGTCTAACTGAAACTAGTCTCGCAGACTAAAACACAAAAAGAAACCAAAACAAAAACTGTCTAAGGCACAAAAAGAGAACAAACTAACTAATTCTTCTTCTCCAGGTGAACCGAACAGAAACATGAAAACCCAAGAGAACATGTGGAAAACATGTAAAATCCATTTAGACTGGAAACAAACCCAGGGCATGTGTGCACTAAGTTAGTAATTCTATCCTACAGTCCACTCTGTTGCCCATGGTCTTCCTACTTTTTCAATAAATTTCATTTCATATAGTCTCTGGGTGCACTATGCCTCATCTGTCTTTCTTGAACCTGAAAGGGCTTAGTTGTCTTGCACTGTGAATATTGTTTATTTATTCAAAAATGTAATGTACTTTTGTTCAAATATATTTTAAAAGGTTTAGGTAAAATCTGCCTTTTCATTTGCAGACTTCCATGAGCCTGCAAGACCCCAAGGCATGATGTTTCACATAACAGAATTTCAAATTTTAGGAGACATTATAAAAAATATACCAAAGGTAAGTTTAGCATATGTCCTTATGCTTAATGCTCTACTTTAATCTAAAATTCACAATGCATAAATTATTGAGAACATTTTTATTTAGTGTGATTTTTTTTACTCTCAAGGGTTCCAATTAAAATGATACAAACATGAGGTACTGTAGTATTCAGAATTTTGACAATTGCATATCTTATTTAAACATAGAACAATCTCTGAGTTGAAAATACATTATTGAAATCCATTTCCTTGCATAAAGGCCTTTATTTAAAGCTTTCCTGTCTTCCTTCAACTGATTTACAAACCTTTTCAAATTTTGGAAAGTTGCTATTAAATCACAGATTTCACACTACTGTAGGTCCACACAGACTGTATAAAGATAATGGTTTGTGTAGAAATACCAAAGCAACATCATTTATGTTTAAAACCATTTGCTTTTTATATTATTCAGAAAGTAAAGGAAGGAACATGTCACTGTTCAATTTATTAGCAACCTCCAACACAGACTAACATACCTGTAAATAGTTACTGTATAGATACCTTATTGTCCACTTCTGTGGAAATTTGTCTTTCCCTAACAAAGGTACAGTATATACAGTACATTATGTTTGAACATGATTCACATTTAATGGCTGACTAACATTGCACTACATGTATGATTTAAAAACATTATTTTTTCATCATTTCATCATCATAAAAAACAATTAACTCTATTAAACAATTCAGATTTAAATTCCATCAAATTACTGCTTAAATGCTTTGTAATTTCACCCCCAAATGTTTAATTATGCAGTGTCTCTTCTGTTAGAAAAGGTTGTGATATCCCTGCAGGAAATGTTACAGCTCACGTTTTCCTCTTTGCATTCTTTCCAAGTACAAAAAGCCAAACACGATTGCTTGCCAGTTTACCTTAACAAATGGAAAAGTATAGAAATTGTGAAGTTGCATTCAACCCAAAGCTTTATAACACAAAATTACAGAAAACACTGTAGGCCATAATTACAGAAAATTCAGTTTTCCCAATTTGTTGTTTCTTAGTTTTCTCTTGATTTTGCAAATGCTCTTACATTTCACTGAATCAAAGCTGACAGCAAACTATAAAGTCTGCCTTTGGTTTTACAGAGAAAGTGTGTTGCTTTGTTTCATATCTATTCTTACGTTTGCAATCCTTCACGTTTATTTTGAAAAAATCAATGCATAAATATAAAAATAATGAGGTTTGAACAAAACAAAATAAAAGATTGCTAAACATGTGATAATCAAATCACAGGGCAATATGGAACAACATAATGTGGATTTCCTAAATGCCTATAAGAATGGCAACACATCATTGCTTTTTTTTTCTTAAGCCATACATTTGGCAGCGGAAATTAGGGTCTGTGTTGTGTTAATTGGACTAACAGCCATAAGGTTTATTTTGCTACAATGAATGTTATTTCTTTTGAAACTGTATTTGGAAAAATAAACAATGAATGGTTTCAAGCATTTCAATTTTGTATTTCTGAAAGACCCTAGATACAGTATGGTTATGCACTGTTGCTAGTATTAAGCCATATAATGCTTTAAAGTGTCTCAGGTTTAAAACGTTTGAAATTTCAAATTCAAAGTTTAAGACTCTGAAATATACAAACAGAAGAAGACTGAAATCTGAAGAAACTGAAAAACAATAAGTTTATATTGAAACAATTTTATTTTTACCATTGTGTAGCAGATAGGAAACCGAGCTTTTCCTTCTTTTTTGAATAGTTTAGGTGCACTGTACCTAACTACCTCTGGATTCATCGAATAATAGATCGCCACATTAAACTACAACTGTCTTCTAGCGGTTGCTGCTTTCTGTAGGACTGTTCCTAAACGGTGGAATTGTTGTTTTGTTAACAGTGAAATTAGCATTTATTTATGTTTTATAATGACTAAATTTACAGCAAGTGTCACCAACTGAGCTAAGTTTTCAATTTTTCTATTCACCAGGAAACCCTGACATCTCACTAGACAGTAGTGTGAAGTAGTTGATAGGACTTTACAACTGTGAGGATTTTAATCCCAGGTGAGACAGTACTGTTGTACCCTTAAGCAAAGTATTTTACTCAAATTGTTCTGGTAAATGGCACACTGTATACATCTATCCTTGTAAATAAGAATGTAAATAATTATTAATAGCTAACAATGAACTAACCTGGTTAAATAAAGGACTAAAAATAATATCTCTCTGCTATGTCTCAAGAGTTACTGGAGCTAAATGTGTATTAGCATTACAGTGATTAAGAGAATATTTACTTAGATTTGATCCACCCACACACTTCCTGTATATCTTAAACCATATTACATATAAATTAGACTAAGCACACTAAGACACCTGAAACTCTAACCTTGATGATTAAGGCAATGTGATGCTGTTCAACATTCAGATTCAAGGTTTATTCCATTTATTGTTTTGTTAGGTGTACTGTCCTCCATCAGGTCTGGCAATTTAGGTGCAATTTCTGCACAGCTTACAGTGTTCCTTCATTCTTATTCTCCTTTGGCATTATACTATAGCTTCCAGGAAACCTCATACAGTAGTTTCACCCTGAGATAAAACTTGTGCTCAGCATGTTTTGTCTCCAGAGATGTCTGTCTCCCACTCCTGTCTGAGGGCTGCTGTGTACTGGTATCTGAACAGAGTGCTTTTCTACTTCCCACCCTTCTTTCGCATTTTGCAGTCTCATGTACAATGTTATCTCGCTTAAATGCTGATGAGTTAAAGCAACACGGTTAATTTCATTGCATTTCTGAGCTCTTGCTCTGTCCCCTGATCTAATTGTGAGTTGGGAGAAGGGAAAAGAATGCTCAATTCCAACCCTGTGAATTTCTTTTTGTCCATCATTCCTGTGTTTTGTGAATGACCACTGTCTTTTTCTATAACTCCTATCCTTTTAGTACAAATGTCTTAAAATGCTGAAAAGCACTGATTAGCAACTCATCCTTTGCTATTAGCTCTGGTCAATTGCTCCAACATCTTAAGTTTAGTCTACATTAAAAGTATATAACAAAACGTTTTTTTTTAAAGATTTTAGGATCTAAATAAAACCAGATGTTTTCATTTCACATACTCAATCTGTTTCTCGTGTTACTTAATCAAACCTGGATAGGTTAGGATAGGATTTTACATGGATAGGGATATTTAAAAATGTATAATCTAAATTTCCCATTAGAAAATAAATACAAACTTTTATAATAAACATTTAGTTCACCCCCCCCCCCCAAAAAAAAGCAGAAGAGTGAAGAGTGAAAAGTAGAAGAGTGATTCACTAGGTGGCTACAGTGGGTATGATTGTTCATGCTGAATATATATTATTTAGCAGCATAAAACTGTCTAAACAGCTAGCTTGATTATCAACAAGCCAGACCTTTAGCTTTTCACATTCAATGGCATCATACCTCTTTGGCTAAAATCTATAGCTTCTTGATTTCACAACTTTAAATGGCTCTACTTTATCTGCTTGACATTTACAGAATATTGGCTGTTGTACTTATCAGATAAGTGTGTTTCAAATCCAAATATCACATTATTAAAACACATACTGCTCTTTTGTCTCTTCTAAAAAAATGTTTTCAATAACATTCAATGTTGAATCATCATTGATAATTAGTCAAATAGGGAGTTGAGCTTTTGAAAATTCCAATGCTGATTAAGAATATTGGATGCAACTATAAAATTCTTAGCTATATGTGTTCAAGACAGATAGGAAGACATGAATAGTTGTGCACCGAAGAACAGTATCATAACTAGCAGGATAAAAATGAATGTGTCAAAAGTCTTGCACAACAGAAGTGGTCATGAATTAGGTATTACACAAGCTCTCCCTTTTTATCTATTTGATTTCTACAAATCGATAAAAGGGCAAAGTTAACAAGTAGAAAATCAGAGTCCTGTGGATAATAAATCTGAGAACTTTTGCTATGTTGTCAAAAGTTGTTAGACTGGTTCTGTTAGTTGAACATCAATATGATTATAGAACGGAACAAGTAATAGGTTTATGCCATGCTGAAAAGAGAGGAAAGAAAACACAATGTTTCGGCCATGGAGCCTTCTTCAGGTGTGAGAAAGAAAGAGCAGTAAGCAATGGTAATGTAACAAAGGAGAACAAAAGCTGGAAGAGAGGTTGGGTGGGAGGCAGGAGCAGGGGACATACAGAGTTGCCCAATCAGGTAGTATGAAGTCAGGATAGGTGAAGAGAAGTGTAACCTGTGGATTTTGGGCATAAACAGTAATATAAATTATTCCACAACCAAACCTTGCCCTGTGTGGATGTTTGAGGTGGTCTTATAGTTCTGAAGTGAGATTTTTCCAGATGTGGCTAATTCATTTGATATACAGTACAGTATACAGCATCAACAGTATATTCATTCCATCAGGACACCAGGGGGGAAGGCAATCCAGACATAACATTTCAAAATGGAAACCAAAATTCTGTCTCTCTCCGCACAATGGTCATTTATTTTTACTTTTGAGGGTTTGGCTGCTTTTAAACTAAATAACCCTAATGGCACCATTCAAGATCCAAACATCATTTAGGTCAAATGTGAAGAGGAATATGTCACCAAAGTAAGTTACTGTACTTTTATACTTCATATATTTTTTCTGTAATATTTCCTTTTAACATGCTTTGAAAATCAATCTATCGATATTTTCAAATTTCATGTAATCACATTTGATAAATAAAACCATACAGTATACAGTATATTAGTACAGGTATGTACTGTATACTTTACAGCACATGTATAAAGATATTTGTGTCTATTATGGACTGACATCCCATTAAGAGTGATGATGATAATTGTGCTATTTTCCTGCCATTAAGCTCTCGTTCACTGTGATCATACTGTATGTTTGGCTTTGTGGTTACTGAAAGCAGATGGGTTTATACTGTATATACTACATAAGGCAGACTGGTGTCACATTGATTAGCATTGCTTTAATGGGTTTGTCCAGGTTCTCTGGTTTCCTCCCATAATGTAAAAACATACTGGCAGGTTAATTGGCTCCTGGGAAATTTGGTCCTGTTGTGAAGTGTGTGTATTTCTGTTTGTGTCTGCGAGTTCCCTGCAATGAACTGGCATTCCATCCAGGTTGCATCCTGCCCTGTGCCTGTTTCTTGCCAGGATAGACTCCAGCTGTCCCTCAACCCTGAATTGGATGAAGCACTTAGAAAATGTATGGACAGATATTAAACTACGCATGTTCTAAAAATGCATATTGTACTTTAATAAATAAAATGTATATTTATTAGTGCTGTTATATCAGTTTAACAATAGTTGTTCCTTTCAGCATGTGCATTGCCTTTCAGACATTTTCAGAACTTTGTCATGGAACTCTGGGTTCAGTTCCCAATAAATCTAAATTTGATCTATTCAGTTTATCAGCGTTCTTTTATATAGTGTGTATCATGATTATATATATCTGAGCCTCAACTATGCTGTAAATTAATTCTCAAAACATAAGAATTCTGAAAAAAAGAGTAAAAAAGTATTCTGATTAAGGACATGTATGTACTGTATGTAGAAAAGTGTCCTTATTATTTAAGATTAAGATGTTTTTATTAGTTTCACATGTCAAGCTGTCTCTTACTTGAAACTTTGATCTCTTTTCACTTGTCTCACTACAAATCTATTTATACACTTTTTATTAGTTTTTTAATTATCATTAGGTTGAAGAAAAGTCAGAAAATATTAAGAACAAAAATGTACTTGTTACTTCAATTACATTTTGAGTTTCAAGCAGCCTTTTGATCACTGAACATTATAAATTTGGCTTATACTGATGTCAGTCCAATATAGACATCAATAGAAAGAATACTAATGAAGTACTAGAATAATAAGGATTGTCACAAGAGATCAAATACATTTATGCAAAGACCTTATTTCAGTAAAAATGTTTAACCACTAAAATAATAGTTTTCTTTGCCATGCATCATTAACATAAGACTAAACATTTTCAGTTATCATAGAATTTAAAAACTGCAAGGGATGTATTCACTTACTCAAACTACTATATGTGATAACCTATAAAATTCCCATTTATTAATAAAAACTGCTGTGTGATTATGCATATACTGTATATTATCACTTAAAAGAATGCAGTGAACAGATGGTTGTTTTGAAGATGTTCCTACTGTCATATAACATCAAACTTAGTTGGCTCCCTGTGAGCAACTGAACACATTCTAGCTTTTTTCAACTAAAACCTTTCAACATAGGTTAATCAAAACTGCTGCACTCTTTCATTCTTAAAAAAAATTATGTGAACCTCAAGTAAGTTTATAATAAAGTAAATATGAGTAGAACTTTACTCCAGTTTTTATTTAAACCAACAGGATACTACTGTACATTATTAAAAAAAAACAAAAGATGGCATTTTGCACTGAATTTTAGAACATTTTCTTTATGACGGGGACAATTTAAGTGGTATTGGTAGGGATATCTGGGGAGATATGGTGGTGCACTGGTAAGCATTGCAGCCTTACAATGTTACGGCCCTGGAGTGCTGTCTGTGTGATGGTCGTACATTTAATGTTCTCCCTATGTTTGCATGGGTTTCTGTCAGGTAAAGAGATCCAGAGGTTTGTGACAACATGAAAACTTACAGTACTTTTACAAAGTTCGTGATGTTGTGGAAATTTGGAATTTGTCATTTTTTTCTGTACCATCAATGGATTTATTTTCAAACCAAGACTTAATAACAGGTTTGAGAAATTGGGACTGCAGTTCCCCCTTAACTGGTTTCTGAGAAAATTGGCCCTAGTGTGAGTGTGAGAGTGTTTTTTATCTCTGCATGCCCAGTGATGGACTGGATTGTTGTTCGGAGTGTATCCTGCTTTGTATCCATTATTTGCTGCGAAAGGCAGGCTCCTGCTCCTCTGTGACCCTGTATTGGATATCTCCAGGAGTTAAACCGGACACAGTTTGGAAATAAATCTAAGAAAAACTAACTGCTACATTATCCTTCAAGACCCAGAGATGCTTTAGGATCAATTAAGGGCTAGTGGGAAAGCTTAAACCACTGTGGGA